TGCGATCTCGCGCCGCACCCAATATAGATGATTTTTAATTCAAAGGCCAGATCCAGTTTCTACAGTAGTCACGCGCGCACACGTCCGTTACTTTCTCGGGCACCCGTTACCCGAAACTTAGTCACCGCGCTTTTGCTTACAGATTGTAGACCCCTTAAGCGTATCCGCTGTTGGGGAATAACCTTGTGTTTGCTATATTAGGCCTGCTGTAATGCTACAAGTACAGCAGCTTTCTAATCTTTATATAGTCACCCTATGGCCCTAGAAATCTGCTTCAATCCCATAAGCCAGCCCTGTAATCCTGAAACCCTCGTACAACCACGCAAAAACTTCTGCGGCTACCACTGCACTCCCAACAAAGCGCTTATGTACAACCTGGCGAGAATTCCTGCATTTCTATTACTTGTCCGCCCCGACCCCATATAGCACCCCTGTAATCCCAACAACGCAATATGCAACGCTAAGTTGCATACTTTTCGCCTACATCCTCCAAAAAGCCCAGAACCCTAAACTCTAAACGCAAGACCCTACGCCCAGAATCCCTCCGGACTCCATCTGAAGATGGCCTAGTTCCTTCGTCCCTTTTTGAGGAGAAGCCCTACCTCGAGCCCCGCTGCGATCGGTAGCACCGAGACACGCGCCGCCAGGTCCTCGTACCAAAAGAAGTGGAATAGGAATAAGAATAACAACCATCATTGTGATTCTTGTCATTACTATTGCATCGCTATTTCGATCATTAGTAATATCAGAGTTATTACCATCATAGTCCCTTCTCCCCAATATTAAATCCCACCTAATATTCAATAATAAGTTCTGGGGCCTTAAAATCCAGAAGGGGCAACCCAATAATGAATTATGGTGGTTTTGAGGTCAATAGGGCATATAAGAAGAAATTATGGATCCCCTTCATATCCTAGGTTTTGACCGTTCTCCATGTGGTTTTAATAGAAGATTCTATATACAAGAACTGAATCCGATTTTAATTGATTCTATTACCATTTTAGCCGTATTTAACTAAATTTCAGTTGAGCTTCGTTCGATTTCAATCGGTCTTTATGGAATCTTAACTGGGATTCAATTTGTTTTACATGGAATTTAATTAGGCTGTAATTGATTTTGACTCGAATTTAATTCGATTTCAATTCATGTTTAATGGAATCTTAATTAGATTTCAAGTGATTCAATATGAATTTAATTCAATCTCAATAAGTATTGAATTACTACTTCAATTTTATGAGTTAGTGTAATGATAAGAATATTCAGTTTCCATGGAGTTTGAAAGGATTTTAAAGGCAGCAGGCACGCGCCAAAACAATGAAAAACCAAAGGGGCACGCGCGTGCATGCATGCGTGCGTGCATGCGTGAATGTGTGCAGGCGGGCAGGGCGGGGCAGGGCGGGGTGGGGCTGACGGGGCAGGCGGGCTGGCGAGCAGTGAGCGAGGGTGCGCAGGCGAGGCGAGCTGGCAGGCTTTCTTCCGCGCTTCTTTGGCAGTGTCAGGCTGCCGGACGTTGCTGCTTCCATGATTTGCTGGCCAGGCGTGCGCGGACAGCATTAGCATCATCAGCCGTCTTGTCCTCTTTGCTTTCCGAAGGGTTTGGTGTTGAGCCAATGATGGACAGCGAGGTTGCTTGATCCACTTGTGGGCACGCTTGCGATTGGCTTCCTCTTTGCACTTTCAAGGCCTAGGCTTGTTTGGCAGCCTCGCAATCTGAAATCTTTCCCTTGGCCTCCGTGTCCTGATTTGCCTGATCTGGCTTGTCAGGGTGTAGGGTACATTGGGTATAATCAAAAGTCCTTGTAGGAGGTTTATGAGGACTAGACAGGGGTGGAAGGATCGAGGTCCAGAATAGCGGTTTGAGGGAATCAGCAGTTTACAAGCGGAAGTTGGACACAGATCCCCGTGAAGGTAGATGCATCTTAACGTTGTAGATTGTAGGTGGTGTTGAAGGTTTTTTGGGAGACTTTCGAGGATGAGGGCGTTGGGCTGTGGGGTTGCATCTGGCGTGTAAAGGTTTAAGGTTGCTGGCTAAAAGTTTAGGGCTTTGGGCTTAGGGTTTGGTAGCTTGGGCCTAGGGTTTCGTGTTAAGAAGTGTTGGGGCTTTTGGTTGCACTAGTCTCAGGAGGATGCGCATGCACGGCCCTTGAACAACTTCTTCCTGCACCTGGCTAGAAAAAAAGGTCAGGTACCCAAACCCTAAACTAAACATCCTTTCATATCTGCCCTCATAAAGACCCTTGGATGACATAATCGGGATTAGGGTTTCGCGTCTTGTGCTTGGAGCTTCCAATTTCTGAACCAATCTCAGAACAAGCCATACACCCTTAACGACAAATGTTTACAAAATTCCAACGCGCACCCTTAACCAGAACTCCAAACCTAAACCATCAACCCTAAGCACTCCCAAGCCCTAAAACCCTGAACTCTATATGTACATATATATAGATATAGATATTGATTCTTTGAATTTTGATTACTTGTATATATGTATATATGTGTGTGTCTCTGTACTCAAGAGTGTTCTTGAGTAATTTGTTTATCTTTTACTTATTTGTCTATGTATCTAGAGTATGTAAATACATATATATATAATTGTATATCTGTGTATATATTTCTAATTAGCTGACTAGCCTATGTAATATGTATGTAATTAATTCATGCAGCTATCTTATGTAAGTAACTTGTCAATCTACTTGATTGCTTACTTGAATTATCCATGTATTTGATTCATGCAGTCAAGCAATTAAGATAACTATTTTTGATACAATGTATGTATTTCTCGATCTGTTCAATCTGGGTTTTTTGAATTGAACTAACCCGTTCAATGTCCTTAATCCGTTTATGTTTTTTCACTTTATTCAACTACTTGATGCAATTAATCTATTAGCCCGTTATGATGCTTGATCTCTTTCTTATTCTTCTTCTGATAGATTTTTATATAGATTCAATCAGTGAACCCGAAGCCTAGAAACTGAAATCCCCAACCCCCCTAACACTGAAAGCGTAATCAAAGCATGAGCAGAAACCATGAAGACTTCAACCCTGGTGAAAATTACACCATGGAAATAATGCCCCAGAACCCGACAGCCCTGAACCCCTTGCCGCCACTTTTTACAAACACTACTAAGCCCTCAAAATAATATTCCGTTTAAATCTTAGATAGTCTTTTTTTCCGAAGTGTGACAATAAAACACAATAAACCGTAGGCAAAGTCATGTTGCCGCTTAAACAACCCTATGCAAGTCTTATTCCTCAGAGTCCGGGTGTCAGTTGCCGCTGGCTGAAATTCCGCATAGCCCTGTCCTTTGCCAACAGAGTCGGGGTCTAGAGTTTATAGAAGGTTGAAATTGGGGTTCTCATACGGTTAACATAGGGTTCAATTTAAGGTGCATTTATATAGAGTTTGTATTGCAGCTAATATAGGTTGATTTCGGGTTATAGTTTTCTTATAACATAAGGTTTGGGTTTTAGGGCTTGGAATAAGTCGACATGTAGGCTCTGCGCTACAGAAAGTAGGCATGGGTCCTATCTTATATATAAAGACGGCTAAAAAACATACATACATACATATGCGCATGTATAAGGCAGTGGGTTTAGGATTTAGGCATAAACTACATTGCGCATACGTACACATGTATACATACATACATACATGCGTATGTCGCTTAGGGCATCGCATTGAACACCTGCACAGGAATCGAACCTCCCCGACCACTTTCTCTGCATTTCTCACGAGACAGAACTCTTACTCCCTCTTCGCTACTTTCTTCCTCCCGGCTCTGTTCCTACACTTGTTCTATTTCAAAGAAACATGTACCAGGAAGCCAAAGGAAAGAGAAGAGCAGGGAAGAGAAAATGAAAGAAACAGGCTCTTCAACCGGTGATACAAGCGATTGTGAGAGCCTAGCGCGAACTTCCATCCCGATCGCTCAAAAAAGGCAGAAGGACAGCAGCAAGACATGTACAAAGCAATGCTGCATGTGGTGCCATGGAAATTTGTTCGGGTTGAAGTTGGGTATACTTCCCATTCCAGATTCTATTGACAGCTGTTACCCTAAGTGAAGCTTCGAGCCACTAACAAAAAAAAAAAAAAAACGAGGTTTGCAGCAGCAGCATCGATTCTTATGTTGATGGGACCCCGCCCAGGCAGCAACGCACATGAAAAAAGAGTCGTCACGTATTTTGCAGAACACAGGCAGAGCAATACTGCTGCTCCTCTGAGCCCGTGGCAACTCGTCCAACACTGAAGTTATACACCCTGATTGGCAGTGGGCTTACCGCCTCATGGCCGCCATCACGCACAACTATACTTTATTCTGCAATTTGGCAATCCCAGACATAATCAATGAGATCCCTTCAGCATGGCAATCATGCATTCTGGATCTTTCCCTGAAAGGTCCCAGCTTGTCAGGGGCCATGACAAGCGCGGGCCGGTGGCATGGGGAATAAGATTAGCCTGGATGGCATGTGGGACATAGCCAAGGCTGGGAGACGAGCGTGAAACTGACAGTGACATGAGCTGAGACGCCACATCGAAGAGGTTGCACGGGGTGGGGTTGGGGTTTGGGTTTGCCACCTTGCAAGAGAGCTGGTATTTGTAGAAATTGAAAGGCTCGACGTCATGAACTACACTAATTACGACACGCCTTTTTGGTTTTGAGAAGATGTGAGTACATCCTTAAGAATAGTCACGCCGCGGCCTGGTGACCTCAGGCCCCAGATGCTTTAGCTTGGGTGCTCAAATTTTGTATTACGGGCAAAAGTGCAGTGATAACAATATTTCATGATAGATTGTATGTTTACATGCTGTGGTTTTGGATGCCCTCAACGCAACGATTTAGTTGTTGTCTGACGTTTGTTTCCCAGTCGCCCACAGGGGAAGGCACAGCCGCGATTTTTTTTTCTTCTTTTTTTTCCCGGTGCTCTTTGTGCTTTTCTCAGAGGTCAAGGTTTTCAGGTTCAGCGATCAGTCATAGGACTGCCAATATGCTGGCAGGCAAGGATCAAAATGTACTCAAGATATCCTGTGGGTTGAATCAATCAATCCTCGAGGTGGACCCCTGGCCTGATACACAGTGGAAAGCGCAGCGATCGCAGACTGTGTGCTCGGAAAAACATCGAGCGTTGGAAGTGCAGGTGCCAAGGAATGCGGAGCGGATGCAGCAGAGCAACCGGAGCTCAGCCAGTGCAGGGGCAGCAGACATGGGCGTGGGCAGCAGGGTCAGGCGACGTAAGTGCCGCAGCAGGCGCAGACGCCGACGCGAGAAAGCAGCACGGAGTTACAAGATTATCTCGCCGGGCGGCCTATAGAAGCACAGCGTCAGATCACATCGGGTGATTCGGTCGACATTGCACGTGGCTCGGGAAGCAACACAGGCCCGGCAGATGCACTAGGGCACTGCGTCAGACTGCGCATGTCTGGACAACAAAACAAGAGTCGTGTCGGGTCACAAGCCTCTACGGCTGATAACTTGTTAAGAGAGGCCAGGTTGAGCCAACGCAGGATCACGAAGCTCAGGGCACATAGGGGTCCCTAGACTCGGGGCAGCAAGCAAGCAATGAAGAGCAAAGATCTTTGCAAACCTAGGGGCCCATTTAGATTTAAGTCTGTTGTACCTAACAGGAAACCCTGAGCTGACACTCCTTTGGG